GGGCAGGGTCATGGAATGGGCCCTCTCCCCCTAAAAGAGCAGGGCCTCTTCGGCAGCGCAGGGCAGAAGGAAGACGGAGCAGGCATGGCTGTGCAGTCCAGGACAGAGCAGGGTGAAGCAGAACCTCGCCATGAAGGCGTGACACAGACAGCTTCCCCTTCATTCTGGGAGGAAAGCTGGCTCCAACCCTAGAGCACACCCACCCAGCCCACATGCCATGCAACCAGCGCGCCTGCACTTCCGGAACATCCAGGGGCAGGTCTGCCCTTGGGCAACACCTCCTGACACCTATGAAAGCACCGTACACTCTCTCGGGAAGTTCTGACTGCACACTGCACCCTTCCTGTTCTCACACTGACCTTGGGTGATCTGAAAAGCACTTGGGGGTGACCCACCCACATTGAGGGCACATGTCCCCAAGAACACAGGGACTGAGGCTGGGTATGGCTTCCTTCTTTTGCTCCCAAGGAGGGGGTCTGCAGGTATGGGCATCTGGTATCCCAAAATGGCCACTTCTGAGCAATTTGGCCATCAAACAATCGCCAGAAGGGGCCACCATGGCTGGAAGCTTCCTGTAGCTTCATAATACCCTACAGGATCCTCCAGCACTAGTCTGGGGGCTGTCCCTGAGACTGGCGCTCCCTTCCCTCTTGACAGAACATGGTGTGGAGAAGAAAGGGTAGGTGGGTAGGTGGCTTGGGAGGAGCAGCCCAGGCAGGCTCCATGGAGGTGGTGTGGGCTACCTCCTGTGTACCACGGAATTTTCATGGGCAGCCGATGACAGCTGATGCCWCAAGGAAGAGGTCTCCAACTGCAGAGCCGCAGGCTTCCCTTGACTGAGCGATTCTGAACTAAAACTACCCTGAAGCCCCCGTCCATGCTTTCCATCGGCCTGCTCCACTCATCTGGTAAGGTGTGCTCAAAATGTAACCAAAGATCATTTTTATTTGCCAAATGAACGGTAGCTATCCATATGTTTTAAGGAGCCACAAAACCTCTTCAACAAGTTAACGATTGGATCTCAGACACATCTGTTTGTTCATTGAGCAAATAATTCAGTTAAAAACCACTGATTTTCCTCCCACCCCTCTGCAGGTGCTGAATTAATAAGCCAGGACAAGGAGCCTTGGGCTTCTCTTGGGCCATAACCAAAATCCACCAGCCACACAACTAGGTGCTGCCAGGAGGCAGCGTGTTGGGGATGACCGGTGTCCCTGGGGAGGGGCCTCCCCAGGGTGTCACTGCCACTCAGGGCACGCTGTCCCACCTGAGGACATCACAGACACACCAGAAAGAGACAGCGTGATCACATGGTGCACTTGCCGTGCCACACTCCTGAGAGGTTCAGCTGGTCGTGGCCAACGCAGGAGTGAGGAAGGCGCCTTCCCACAGATGGCGCTGGGGCTGCAGAGCCCCTGACCCGGCTGAGGTCCCCAGCTCTGGGAGCGCAGCCTGCCTACCTCTCATTCCATCGTTCACCAGCTACAGAGGGCACCAGGGTGGTGGCTTGGTGGGGTGAGCATTCTCAATGATGGGAGCCACTCAGGGGCCTCCTCTGACCTGCTGCATACCATCCCCTCTCCTGAGAACGACGGTCTGTCCTGCCCCTGGCCACCTTTGTCCTGTGTGAGACAACACTACGCCTGGGGTGCTGAGAAAGGCAAGTAGACCCCACACTGGGCACACTCAGAGCTGCGGTTCTAGGATGAATAAGGACGGGGTGAGGGAGCCAAACTCCAGGCAGACGGGACCACAGTTCACATAGCGCTATCTCAAACACCAAAGTACCCGCATCTACGCTAAAAGTGGTCTAGACTACCCCACCCACACTGGGGCTCTGTGGCACCTGCTGGCATGGCGAGCCCTGAGACACGTGGCTCTGGGACTTGAGTCTCCTGAAGTGCTCCCAGACACCCACAGGACACCCCAGTCTTGAGGCTGCTGCGTGCGCAGTGCAGCTGGCAAGGACAGAGCAGGAGGCACGCACCACAGGTAAGAGGAGGACAACGCTGTGCAGGCTGGGCCTGAGCAGTCCTGCCGGGAACCCTACCTGGGCCACAGAGGAACAGTTTCTGGAGATGGCCGTTCTTTCCCTCTCTTAGCTCAGTCTTCCATGATGCTCAAGTGAAATGTGGAAACTTCTCTGCAGGTATCTTAAAGTGCACTGTGGCTGGGCACTGGCTCATTGGCCCTCATTGTTTAGGAGATAGATTTAATTAACCTTTGATGAATCCTGCCAGGGAGCATGAAGTGGCACTCGGAAGCCACTCCTCCCCACACCTAGGAACTCACAAAGCTAACCACTGTGACATGAGGGGGCTGCCGAGACCTGGCGCATGCTGGTGGACGTCCTGTCCCAGGTGACATGTGGTTGGGAACTGCACCTCACCCTCCACAGGACTGACCTGCTAGTTGCTTCCCAGATGGTCCCAGYACTTAACCACTGCTGGGGAGTCCAAAGGCAACCCTGGCAGCCCAGGAGGTGAATCCTTCCCAAACGGTGTCTAGGGATCCTAAGGACCTGGATTACCCACTGACCTGGCTATGGTAAAAAGAAGCTATGAGCCTTGTGCAGCTGAGAGTGGGGTTGCCTGGTGCTTCCCAAGGGCCCCAGGGGGCCACAGGCCCACCCTGTGACAGTGGCCTAATGTGTCTAGCTATCCCACCCACACTTGGGCTCCGTGGCACAACTCACCTGGGGCTCTCCAGTAGAACAGCCAACACGGCCTCACCTGGACACTGACAGGGCAGATAACTTACTGAGCACTAGCTGATCTCCAGAGGGGCCACCCTGATGCAGAGCAGGCAGGGATGCTGCTGTGGGTCCTGCTGACCACCCATCCGGGGCAATGGGTGTCCACTCACCAGTGCCATGTCTACCACAATGTACTTATGCAGCCCTGGTGAGCAGGACACTGGCGCTTGGAGACAGGGGCAGATGGTGGAGCCCAAGGGCCAAGGGACAGAAGGGGGATACAGGTGAACTCGCACTGCACGCTTCACCAAGGTGTTCCACACCCAGCAGCTCTGTGGGGAGGGAGGGCAGGGAGGACARCTGGGCCTCCTGCTCTGCAGTGGCCACAACGTTCTTGCCCAGCATCCCAGAGGCCCTGCAGACCCAGCTGCCCCTACCCACTCTGAGCTCCACCACTACTGTCCAGAGAGACACGCTTCTTTACGGCAGGTTGGAACACCCACCAGGTAACACTTCTGCCCAGGCTTGACAGGCTGACGTCTGCTTCACACAGCAGGAAAAGGCCACTTGAAGCTCTTCTGACCTCTTCCTAACTGTGGGCAGCTCCGCACTGGCCAGCTTTGGCCTTCCACTGGCCACTGTGCTAGGAGTGGAGGCCTCTGAACGGGCAGATGCTCTCAGTTAGCAGAAGAGATGCCACACTGCTCTCAAGCAGCAGGCCAGTGGCCAGGCTCAGAGCTCTGCAGGGAGAGTCTCGGCCAGGAACCATGGCTTTYGGCCCCACCTCAGTCTCCATCGAGGAGGGGCTCTCAGTGAGGGCTCCCACCTCCCAGCATGTTCTCAATAGGCTGGATGCAGCCAAGAGATTTCCACAAGGCAGGCCCTGCCCCTGCAGTCGAGGACCCCGCCATCAGCTTCCAGCAGACCTGGTGGCATGAACAGAAGGTTCCCCAGTTCCCTGTGAAATCTCTGCAGCTTTCCTCCTCCTCTAAGTCAGGTGAAGCTGCGTCCCTGCCAGGAGCCACTGAGCATCCAGGAAGACCACTTGTGCAGCTTAGTGTGCACACACATGCACACACGGGTGTGCCCAGAGGCCCACCTGGCGATGTGCCCTCGGCTCAATTACACAAGAACAACAGAGTGTTTTACCAGCACATCACTCAGCTCCATCAACCAAAGTGACCACAGGACAGGCTCAAGCCTGCTCAGCTGTCCTTAAGAAATGAGTCWCCACCAAGGATGGAAGGTTGATGCGACACTTTTGGGAATGGAAACTACTAATTGGGAGATAATGATAATAGCTCAAGGCGGTGCACATCTATTTGCTGCTGTTCCTGTGGCCCCAGTCTGTGCTGGGCCACACCCTGCTCCTAAAGGGCCGGCTGGGCTCAGCAGGAAGCAAYGGGGCCTGCTGCCTATGCCACAGTGTGGTGTGGGTGGAGACGGTGGGCATTTTGCTTTCAGCCCCCTCTCTTGCTGCTGCCTGGGAAGGTGGCACAGTTCCTATATAGGAACTGAGAGAGAACCGCTGGGAGCAGATAGAGGCCTCAGCCTGCCATCCCAGAACTGAGGGTACTAAACTGGCACCCACCTGCCACAGACCTCACCATGGAGGAAGGACAGCCCTAAGCCCATGCCACAGAACCTGCTTCCCTTGGTGACACATGATGGCCACATGGGTTCTCACTGACCTCGAGGGCCTTGCTGCTCATCTCTGGGCGATGCTCTGACAGTTTTATGGTCAACGGGGATCTAATGCCTGGTTTCTGAGAACCCCAGGAGCCAGCATGGCCTCTGAGTTCCCAAAGACTGAGAGACAGCAGTCAAATAGAACAACCAGTCTACAGACAGGTAAATACGAAATTCAAAATGGGTTTCCAGCCAGGCACAGTAGTCATGCTTATAATCCCAGCAGCCCAGGAGGCTGAGGCAGGAGGATCACAGGTTCAAAGCCAGCCTCAGCAACTCAGCAAGACCCTGAGCAACTTAGCAAGAATCTGCCTCAAAATAAAAAATAAAAAGTGTGGGGGATGTGGCTTAGTGATTAAGCCCCTGTGGGTTYAATCCCCAGTACAAAAAAACCCCCAAACCAAAAAACAACAACAACAAAATAGATGAAATGTAGTGGGGAAAGACCCATCTTCTGGCAGTAGAAGAGTGCTTATTAGAAGCTTTGCTTTGACAGTGTAACCAGTCAAAGCAGTGACAGGGGAGTCGCTTGCAAGACAACACTCTGCCATTTGCTCCACTCTGCTACATGAAAARGCATGCTACCCAGGCCTCAGAGGGAAGGCTTAGTGCTCACCTCTACCACGGACTTGGAATCCAGGCGGAAGTTGAAATCGCCAAAGACAAAGTAGGAAACTTTCTCGAATCGCTGATCGATGATTCTGGGAGGAGAGAAGAAGACAGAGGTCACCACAGGTGGAGACATGGGCCAAATCTCCCTCCCTCAGGGAATCCTCAGCAAGGGACTCTTCTGTGTCCCAGAACCCAGCCAAGAGGCCAGCACTCAGCTCCCCCAAGTCAGCTGGGCCAGAGGGCTTAGTAGAGAACCACCTCATGGGGAAAGGAAAGGCAACCAATGACACAAGCCCAAGAAAACACCCATCTGGGAGAAGCAAGGTGACGTGGGTTGTCAGCAGACAGGCAGCAGGCTGAGCAGAGCCACGCTGCCCATCCACTGAGACGCTCCTCCTGTGTAGGAACATTCACACGTCTTTCCATTGAAGGTCTCCAAGGCACACAGAGATGTGATCTACCAGCTGGGTGTCGCCCTGCTGAGGATTCCTGTGTTTTCTAAGCCAATCACAACCTATTTCATGAACATTTCCCACTGAAAAACACAAGGATGTGAAGTGGTATCCCTTCCAGACGTCACCCGAGCCTCCCACTGTCCTGACAACACAGTCACACGATCAATACTCATACTTTTGAGGAAAGTAAACACTCGGTTACATCTGATATGAAAGCAAAATAAGCCCGTGTCAGCAGGGGTTGCTAGCAGGACGCTGGGACAGAACAGAGTGTCATGGCAGAGCAGTCTCCCAGGGCCCAGGCACCAGGCCACCTCTGGCTTCACTACGCCTCTGCAATGACAGGGAACTCACAACCAGGCAGGAGCGGGAGTTCCTCACTCAGATCAACTCCGGGCTTCGCGTGCAGCCCACCACACACCACGGGTCCTGGCTCAGCAGGGATATGTGTTGCTGCTGTGCTGGTGAGTGCCAACACAGGCTGGGGGGAGGTCCGGGGATGCTGCTCTGACACTATGCACACCTGGAGCTGGGGTCGGAGTGTGAGGGGCACTGTGGGTCCATGGCACAGGGAGGGCAGTAGCTGATTAATTACGGCCTGGGCAGTTTCCAACTAGATGTGTTGGTGAGAGAAATCAAGAGAAGTGAAAAGCCCGTCTCCYGACTTCCAGCTTTTGCAGGTGTGATGTCACGTCGGGGTCTGTGGCAAGCTGCTGAAGGGAGTCCACTTACCAGGTTGGAAGAACAAGGTTGCTAAGAGGTAATGGGGGTGGCCGCTGCACCCAGCCTCTGCCCTGCTATTTGCTCAGAGCCTTGATGAGGGAGGGAGGGGCACTGTGCAGTCCATCTCAGGCCTGGACCCTTGCTCACGGACTCCTTACTGAGAGGGATTGCCTTCTATCAAYCTGATGGCCTTGGTGACAGAGAGCACAGACACCCAACAGCCCTCTTTCTGGGACTTGCATTTCCCCTGGTTTTAAAGAGGTCAGGGCTGGTTCCCCTGCAGTCCCCTGCCCCTTTCTTTCTGAATCCCAGGGCGGCCCCATCAACTCTGGGCAGTGGTCCCAGATGTCTGTGGTAGACATGGGATGCCTCTCACCAGCCTGCTGCTGCTGCCATCCTGCCCGGGCAACCTCAGCCAGGTGGAAGGTTTACCTTCTACAGGAGCAAGTACATCCAAGTTTCCCACCTGTCCTTGCCTGCCCTGGTCCCAGCCAGGCAGAGAAGCCCCGCCAATTCTGCCTTTGTGGTGGGGCACTAAGGTGAGCATGGATCAATCAGGAGCCACAGGACTGAGCAGGGGCTTCAGCAGCTGGTGCTACCCAAAACAACCCCAGGAGAGCACAGATTACCTACTGTTTTCTTATCTATCCCTAATAATTCAGGTGAATTTATATAGAGAAGCCCTTCTTTTTTTTAAGGTGGACACAATACCTTTATTTACTTATTTATTTTTATGTGGTGGATGAGACCCAGTGCCTCCAACATGCTAGGCAAGCTCTCTACCACTGAGCTACAACCCCAGCCCRGGAAGCCCTTCTTATTGACAATTCTTTTTCTTTTTTGGTACTGGGGATTTAACCCAGAGCCACATCCCCTCTCCTTTTTATTTTATTTTTTTCGAGACATGGCCCTGCTCAGTTGTTGCGGCTCGCTCTGAACTTGTGATTCTCCTGCTTCAGCCTCCAGTCACTGAGATCACAGGCATGTGCAAGCCCAGCTTGATGATTCTCTTAAAAGACAATCTGAGCACTTTTCATATTTTCCTTGCATATTAATTGTTAAATCTTCTCGCTCAATTCCACAGCCTTATTTTCCTTTTTAATTGGAATTGCTTTCAATTTAAATATTAATTAAAGAGAAGCCAGATTTTAACAGGTTATTATAAAAAACAGAAGTGGCCAGTAATTTCATTTACTTTTTAAAAGAATTCAGCCTTTCCATGGAGAAAGCTGCTCAGGAAAAGACTGTGTCACAGTGGCTCAGGGCTTGGCGGAAGCTCAGCCTCCTCCCCACTGCTGGTAAGGGGAACAGGACCACCTAAAGTGACTGGGTCTCCAGGTAGGAATGTTTATGAAGCACCTTTGGAATAAACATTGTTCTGCTGATAAACATCTTTAAAAGGGAAAACCTAGGCTTCAGAGAACCCATGTCGCTCTCCCAAGGTCAGAGCCTACCAGGACACCTGGGCCACGTCTTCCAGGTTCCTAGCTCAGGGACCAGGTTACAGTCCTGCACACTGACGCCGACCAGGAAGAAGGAAGAGCTAATGTGCTAAGGGGAGACAGACTCCAGAGACCCTGGTTCTGTCGATGCTGCTGCCAACCCACCCCTGGACCAAGGCAGCAGAGAAGCCACTCTGCTCCCAGCATCCGAGGCTGACTTCTATTGTGGGGAAGAACAGCTACCTGAGGATGAGGCACTTCCCTGGGTCAGAGCGTCTCACCAGGAGTCCTGGGGAGGAGAGAGACCCTGCCGACATACCCTTGTCTGTTAGAACCAGGAGGCTCGGCCCTCTTGGTGCTCACAGGGCTGCCAGCTTTTGACTGACCTGCTCCCCACCCACCCTGTGCCCTCTGTCTCAGAGATCTTGTCCTCTGTCAGTTTCTAACATCTTGTTTTCACTTTTAGACTTGCCCGAGTATCCCTCCAGCCTGAGGCTGCCAGGAAGCTGCCCTGGCAAGGACCCACTTGGGTCACACGCCCCCAGAGCCTTCCACAGGCTGGTGCCAGAAAGGGACACACCTGGTCCTCTCTTTCCAATACTCCTCACCTCTTTTCACCATGGCTCCTGTGTGGCTTGGCMCAGGGGCTGCAGGTGACAAGCCCAGGGCTGGTAACCTATGGCAAGGCACTCGGGCAGGCGGCAGTGACCTCTGCTGAGCAGTGCCSTGCTGTGAGAGGGCACGCTGTATGTGAGATGTGGCAAAGGAACACAGGCAGGAAGAAAAACACACTGGGAGTGTGGCTCAGGGCCGAGGCCTGCTGGCCTGGAAGACGGCCTTCCTCCAGCTGGGCCTCTTCCCTTCTCTTGCTCCAGGCCCCTCTGTTTTAGAGAGAGCTGAGGAAGGAAGCCTCCTGTGGCACCAGGGGACTGGAGGAGGCAGCGCCCCTAAAGCAGCAGCTCTGCACATCCACACACCTGTGCTGCCTCTGGTGTGGCTTGCTGGTGTCCATCCCAGAGCAGGAGTGCTCATCCTTCAGACGCCCAGTGGCAAGCGTGAAGCATGAAGCCAACCCCCTGGACTAATACACAAGAGTTTGCTACTGTTTTTCTCTTCACACTTTGCTCACTTGATACTGGGGATGCAAAGTATGACTCCAACTTCATGCATGACTRCAGAGACGAGTGCTCTCCAACAGTGGGGTGCTGCGTGGCCTGTGCACACCTCAGATACGCACACCCTCCCTGTTCACGGGAGCTCTCGAAGGGTCTACAGGCAAAGCAGGGAGGAAGGTGACCCTGCCATCCTGTTCAGCTTCCTCACTGAACACATCTTCACTCTAAGGGATTTCCTTCTCTTGTACAAAGCTCTCAATCAGTAAGTGTTCAGTGAAGCTGCTACAGTTACCTCAGGAGGTCAAGTGAGCCTCTGCACTAGGCTGCAGGCCCACAGGCCAAAGGGGAGCCAGGCAAGTTGGAGCTGGCCCAGTCAGGCTGCAGGGAGAGCCAGGTCACAGGACACCAAAGCGATTTCTGCATGTGCGTGGGCACTCATGTGCACACTCTGGAGCTGCGGAGCTGGGCCTCCCAGCTAGCTGATACAAGCTCTGAGCTCAGTGGACCATGCTGAGCTCTGATGGCAGGAGGCAGAGGCCTACAAGGGGACTTGCAGAGATGATCTCAGCAGATGCTCACTGCAGAAGCAAATGTCTGCTGGGCTAAGCAGCAGAATACATTTGGAGCTAAATTCTTAAAAACAAACAAACAAACCAACAATTAATAAACTCCAGATTTAGCTCCAGAATGAATGAACTTTAGAAAGTCAAGAGCTGGGAGACAGTTACATGCTGCCTCCTGGGTCCTTCCTGCTCACTGAGATGGTGCTGACGGGTCCAGCCAGGATGCTCCCATGGGTTCCCAGGGACTCAGCCAGGCAATCTCATGGGCACGTCTGGATTCCTGTAAGACTATCATTAAAAACGTAAACTTGATCATGCTTCCTTGCCCTGCTCTCTCTGATATAATAGCCTGAGCCAATTAACAGCAACACCCATCTCTGCAGGTCATGCAGCAGCAGCAAGATGAAGAGGCTGTCACTGGCCGYGCAATCGCCTGAGTGCCAGGCCCCGGCCTCGCGCACTCACTGTTAATTTCAATATAGTGCCATTTGGACCAGGAAGAAGAAAGAGTTGTTTTAAAATTAATTACCTTGTCAGTAGCTATTATGATTAAAAAGTAGATCCACATCAATATCATGAGCCTGATTCAGAAAGAGAATCACAAAGAAGAGGCATAAAAATCAATTTCTTAGGCCTGRAAATAGTGTCTCCTGCTTTGACAGCTGATTCCAGGATGTGACAGCCTCACTGGGGGAGGTGCCAGCTCTCTGCTCGGTCAGAGCCTTGTCCACCTGTGTCTGGAGGACACTGCATCCTGTGACATGGTGGACTCGAGGCTTCTGGGAGAGTCC